AGACAGACACCAGGAGGCCTGGAGGTGGCCAGGGCTGGTCTCCTGCGGGGCGGCCTTTCTGTGCAGGCCGAGCAGGGGACAGGTGTGCAAGCAGCGGAGGCCACCCCAGCCCGCCCTGACCATGGCCGGAGTCTGGGCTCCGCTGGCTGGCCCCACGAACCTGGGCGTCCGCCCTCCTGCACGACCCACTGGGCAGCGAGTCTCCTGTCACCCCCACCCAGGCCCCCCCCCACCGGCCCATGCCCGCCTGCTGGAAAGGCCTCCATCCCAGGGCCACCCCCTGTGCGCCTTCCCTCTCCCAGGGTCACCCACTGTGCGCCTTCCCTGAGGTGGGGGGCTGGCCCCTGTGCCTGGCGGGGGCCTGAGGCTCTGAGCATTTCCCACAACAGGGACCAGGTGGGGACAGAGCTGCCTGGCTGAGCTGCAGGAGAAACTGGGGTGGGGACCGGGACAGCAGCACAGGCCCTGGGGTGGCTGGCGTCCGTGAGGGAGGAGAGGGGGGACAGGGCCGGCCCCTGGACGAAGGTGGGCTGCAGCCAGGTGCCAGGGGAGGGCCCGGGACACCAGCCCCCGAGGGCACTCCCGGGCTGTCACGGGCTCACTGGGTCGCAGAGGCTGACCCTGACCTTCCAGCTAATGAGGCAGAGCCGTGCGGTAAATGTTTGCCCAGAGGAAGGCGCGTGATGGAAGCGCAGTCGGGCAGGAAGGGGAGGCCGCGTCAGGGACGTGCCCCCAGCTGGCGCCCGAGAGCCGGCTCTGCGGGCTGTTTTCCTGGCCCTGCACCTCCTCCGTGTCTGCTCACCCGCAGCCTCGTTTTCCAGGCCATTAGCTCAGCAGACCCGCTGCCCTCGCCATGGCCCCGGCTGGGGGACGGCGCCACGACCCCCAGGCAGGAGGGGAGCGAGGGGGCCCCTCCAGTGTGCGGGGGGCACTCCAGCCCGTGACCACATCCCTGGCCGCCTGTCCCAGCACAGGCTGGTCCGGGGAAGAGGTGTGGCATGGGGCCCCCTGGGGAGGCCGGACCTGCCGCCGTGCTGGGCAGACCCGCCCGCAGGGGAAAGGGACGGGGATCAGGGCGCGGGCTCAGCAACCCCGGCCACTGTGGGGAGCCCGCCAGGCTGTGGGGGCAGTGATTCACTGACAGGAGGGCCGAGAGGGAAACTGAGGCTCGGGCAGCCTCCCTGCTCTCGGCGCCAGGCGGGGGGAGCCGGGGCTGAGCTGTGACGGCGACGAGTTAATTTGCAGCCCGGCCTGGCGGCGCCTGGGTGAGCCAGGAAGCTCCGGCCTCATTACCCGGAGCCGCTTTCATCGAGATTTACAGCTTCACAAACACTCCACGGGCTGCGGCCCCTGGGAACCGGCAGGGAGCGGGATCAGGAACCAGCCGGAAGGAGAGGGGGCAGGAGGGAGGTCGCTGCGCTGCCCCTAGGTCACTGGGAGAAAGGAGGGGGGCGCAGTGAGGGCACGGCCCACGGAACAAGCCCAGCCCCCCACGCGTGCAGTGGTGGGGACACGGCACAGAGACCTCCGTGTCACCTGCGAACGGTCCACCCATCGTGCACGCCCCCACAGGCTGCCCACCGAGGGCCTGGCACCTGGGACCCCCACGGCCGCCTCTGCCCAGGGCGGGAGCCCAGCCCGTCCCAGATGTGCTCCCCCGACGGGAATTGGTGTCAGAAAAGCCGAGAAGTCCTGCCCGGGGACTGCTCCTGCCAGCTCCCCATCCCATCGGCTTGGAGCCGAGCCTGGGGGGGGGGGGGGGGGGCAGCGTTCATCCCGGAGCAGACACGGGGCCTCTGCCCCCAGAGCCTGTGCTTCCCGTGGCCGCGGCCTGGCCTGGGGTGTCCGGTGATGGGGCTTCCAGGAGCGCCAGGTGGGGGGTCCCCCAGCCACCCAGGAAGCTCTGGCGCGCCCGCCCGCCCAGCAGCAGCCTCCCCTTTCAGAAGCCCGTGTGAACTGCTCGGTGCACCCGCTGCTGCCAGAGGGCTCACCCGCCTGCCCCAATCTCTACGCCAACTGGCTGGTCATCCTGCTGCTGGTCACCTTCCTGCTGGTCACCAACGTGCTGCTCATGAACCTGCTCATCGCCATGTTCAGGTGCCCGGGACTCAGGAACTGGGCCCCACAGGGGGAGGCCTGGAGGGGGGCGGTCACCCCCAGACCTGGGCCCCACGGGGAGAGGCCTGGAGGGGGTGGTCACCCCCAGACCTGGGCCCCACGGGGAGAGGCCTGGAGGGGGGCGGTCACCCCGAGATTGCCCCCGCCCCGCACCAGGGAGGGGTGTGGGAGAGGCTTTCCCAAACCCCTGCCCCGGGGGCCGCCCCTCACACCAGCAGGGCCAGGGCCTTTGGAGGCCGAGGGTTTGGAGGTGTCGGGGCGGCAGCGGGGGCAGTGGAAGACCCGGATGAGTGAACCCCACATTAGACACCCCCCCCCCCCGGACCCAGTGATTGGAGCCGATCGGGAGGGGGGCTCGGGTTCTGAGAGCCTCGCTCAGCCGCCCGGGCCCTGCAGCTACACCTTCCAGATGGTGCAGGGCAACGCGGACATGTTCTGGAGGTTCCAGCGCTACCACCTCATCGTGGAGTACCAGGAGCGCCCCGCCCTGGCCCCGCCCTTCATCCTGCTCAGCCACCTGGGCCTGGTGCTCAGGAGGGTCTTCCAGAAGGAGGCGGGGCAGAAGCGGGCACGCCTGGGTGAGGCCGCCGGTGGGCAGGAGGGGCAGCTGGCACAGGCTGAGCCGGGGGGGGGCCCCGGGCGCGGCTGCACTGATGGGGGGGGGTTGGGAGGGCCTGCGGGTGGCACCCCTGGGCGGGATCCGGCGGAGCTGCCCCGGCTCCCTGCCAAGGCCCACCTGGCTGTGTCGAGCCCTCGGCCGCCCCGCTTCCCCAGAGAGAGACCTGCCGGAGCCCCTGGACCAGAAGATGGTGACGTGGGAGGCGGTGCGGAAGGAGAGCCACCTGAGCCGGCTGGAGCGCAGCAGGAGGGACAGCGAGGCGGAGGTGCTGCGGAGGACCGCCCACAGGTGCCAGGCGGCCGGAGAGGGGCCGCTCGCGGGCGCCGCGGCCCCTGCACTCAGGACGAGCTGGGACGCTGAGGCTGGAGAGAGGCGTGGGCTATGGCGGATCTCGAGGGCCCCGCACCCACCTCCTGGCCCGAACAGGGCTCTTCTGGGGCCTTGCCTGCCCCGTGTTTGGGGGACAGGGCCCTGTGTGGTGTCCTCCCTGCTCCGGGGTCTCCGAACGGAAGCCTGCCCTTCGCCTGCCTCCCCAGGTGCCCCAGGTGGTGCCCCCCAGACCTCCCTGAGCCCTCGGTGCCTGCCTGCCTGCGGGTGGGCCATTCCTGCCCCCTGGAGGGCGCAGCAGCGCTGTGTGCACCCAGATGAGGCGGGGGCACGGCCAGAACACCCTGACTCGGGACCAGAGGCCTCAGCGGCCCCCGCCCACCCCAAAGGGCCTGGGTGGCAGGACGAGGGAGGGCGGGAGAGCCCCGGTTCAGAGGCCCTGTGGCCAACGGTGCCTGCTGTCCCTGCTCTGCCACAGGGTGGACGTCATAGCCAAGCAGCTCGGGGGGCTGAGAGAGCAGGAGAAACGCATCCGGGGCCTGGAGTCACAGGTGGGCTGCCAACCAGACCCTGCCCCTCCAGGCTAACGCCGCACCCAGGCTGCACTCAGCACCCCTGCCCAACCATCGCCTAGAGCAGGGGGCCCTCCCTAGAGGGATCCTGTCCACTCGACACACCCCTGGAGCTGCCTCCGGCCCTCTTCCTCCGAGTGCAGCCGGGGGGCGTCCCAGGCAGCAGGGTCCTGGCAGGAGAGGGCGGGGAGGGTCCTGGGGCTCGGCCCGGGGCTCCCCTTCACGCCTCTCCCTCTGGCAGGTCAACTACTGCACGGTGCTCCTGGCCTCCGTGGCCGACAGGCTGCCCATGGGCAGTGCCCACCACAGTAAGTGTGTCTGGGAGGCCCTGTCCCTGCCCCCTGCTGCCCCGCCTTTGAGGTGCAGAGATGCCCTCTGGCCAAGCCCCTGACCCAGCCAGGCCTGAGGTGGTCTCACAGCCCCTGAGGGGTCCCAGGCTCCCGGGCAGTCACCTCTCCCTCCACTCGGCCCCTCCCCCTCCCTCCCTGGGCACTGCGGTGAGCAGCCCTCCCCACCCCACCCCCAGACTCTTGGAACTTGGCCATGGGGAGCCGGCAGGCCCCTGCTGAGCGTGGAGGGGCCGGGGGAGCAGAGACCACCCAGAGGCCAGCCCGCTGCTCTCGGACACCTGAGCCACTTGGACCGTCAGCACACGGGCCCCCTCTCCCGGAGCCCTAGGCCCAGACGGGGTGGGTGGGGGGCCACGGCCCTTGGCGAGTTATCCCAGGTCCAACCCACACTGTGCCCGCCCCGCCCCCCCAGTGGCTTCATCAAAAGGAGCCTCAGAGCCGCCCGCCAGCCTGCGCCAGGACAGCGAGCGTGCACCGAGCCCACCCGCCTCCCGCCTCGGGGCCCACACCAGCCCCTAACCCCTACCCAGCCCCACCTGCTAAGAAAGTGACCGGCTCTGACGTGCTGTGGTGTCTGCCTGTGCCTGTCGGCTCCCGCCCGCGCCCCCAGCAGCTCAGGGAGGCTGGAGTGAGTCCGGCCCGGGGGCAGCCCAGGACACCGTCCCCCCTGAAGGCGGCTTCCCCGGGGACGGAGCCTGGAGAACAGGCCTCACCCGGGTGGCCCCCCAGACCCGTGGCCCTGGGAGGCATTCGGGTCGCCGGGCTGTGGACCGTGTGCCCTGAGAAAGGCTCCCTGGCCGTGGGTTGGGGTCAAGGCGCCCCCGCCCCCATGCGAGGCGAGGCCAGCCACCCAGTCCCTCGGGAAGACCCACCGCTGCACACGCAGGGCGACTCGGACCTCTGAGCCCGAGGCCGCGGGAGGCTCGCGTGGGAGCGTGCTCGGGGGGCCTGCGAGCGGAGGTCCCGCCGCCCAGTCCCGGGTGGGGGCGGGTTCAGAGCGACACGGAGCCCGAGTAAAACCCAAAACCTTTATTGCTCCTCCAGGGGCACCGCAGGCCCAGCTTCCAGTCCCCTTGGCAAGGTCCCAGCCCCAAAGCCACTGCCTGAGCCCAACCAGGCCACGCGCCTCCTACAGGCTGCCCGCCTGGCTCCCAGCCCCCGGGGTGGGGCTCCTGACTTGGGGGCCGTCTCGCTGTCAGCCCTCAGCACCGGGGGCCTCGGGGGCCGCACTCTGGCTCCGCAAGTGGTCCCTGCTCCGCTTCCTGCTGCCGTGGAAGCCAACCGTCTCCACCGCCGGGGGGCCTGCCGCCGGCCTACTGTGGGGGGCCCCCTCAGGCACGCCCACCTCCTGCAGGCCCCCGTGGGGGCCGCCCCACTCCTCAGCCTCCGGGCTCCCAGGCCTGGCCAGGTGCGCCAGCTCCACGGGGCCCCCCGCCTCCGGCAGGACCCTCTTCCTCTCCGGCCTGGCGGGCCTGGCCTCGGCGCGGGTGGGCTTGGAGAAGACGACCCTCCCCTCCCCGCGGCTGGACGGGTCCTGGTTGAAGGAGGGCTCGTAGCTGCCAGGCGCAGCCCCACGCGGGGAGCCCAGGAAGTCCAGGGCGGCCGCCCGGTTGCTCTGCTCGCTGGCCTCGGCCACGTCCTCCAGGCTGTACCTGGTCCAGCGCTCGGGGTGGGCCACGTAGTCGGGCACGGGGGGCACCCTCGGGGGGACGAGGCTCTGACGGGGCCGGCTGGAGGGCACCCGGGGCTGCTTGAAGCCCCCGCCGTCACCCAGGCCCGCCGGGCCCTCGGGGGGCAGCGCCTGCCTGGCCGCCCCCTCCAGGCGGTCGAAGATGCTGTGGCTGCGCTGAGAGAAGGTGCTGCTGGTGCCCCGCAGGTGGAACGGCTGCACGGCGGCGGCGGGGGGGCCCCTGGGCGACGAGGGGGGGCTGTCGGGGCCCGAGTCCCCCTGGGCCTCCCCGGGCAGCCGCTCGGGGGTCAGGGCCTCCAGCGGGGCGCTGCCGGGCCAGCTGAGGTCGGAGTCCGAGTCGGAGTCGCTGAGGGAGACGGTGGGCGGAGACAGGACGTCGTACTCCGTCCCCTGCTCGACCTCCAGGCCAGGGGAGGGCTCGCCGGCCCCCACCTCCGCCATGCGTCCTGGGCCGCACACCTAGACCCAAACTGCGTGAGGCCCGGGCTCAGCCCTGCCAGGGCCCACCCTCCCCAAACGTCCTCTCCTCACCTTCCTGGGTGCCCGGTGCCGGTGCCCGAGCCCCGCGGCCAGAGGCGGGCTGTGTCCTCAACACGAAGACCCCTGCGCGGCTCTGCTCAGCTGCTCCACCTGCTCAGCTGCTCCACCTGCTCAGCTGCTCCAGCTGCTCCACCTGCTCCAGCTGCTCCAGGGAGGCTGGGGGGGAGGGGGGGTGGACGTCAGACAGTGAATGTGCCCAGTGGCGCCACGACCAGCGAGCGGCAGAGGCCGGGTTTCGGGGCCTCGGACCGCCAGCTCACTCAGCGCCCACAGGCCGGGGGAGGGCCGCGCACCCAGACCCCAAGGCTGAGTCCAAATGCAGCGAGGACGGGGCGGGGGGAAGGGGGGGAGCCCGCGGCCCCAAGCAGCCCGGGCTCCGCTCGGGCCCTCCCCACCCGCCGGCCCGCAGGACGGGGCTCCTGTCGGCGGGGAGCTGCCCGCGAGCCCCCCCCGGTGTCTGCGGCCACGTCCCGGGCGTCGGAGGGTCCGGCTCAGGAACAGGGCGCCGACCTGCACCTGCAGGAGCCCCGCGGGGCGGAGGCCAGTCCCTGCGGCTCCGGGGGCGCGTCTCCCGCCCCCCCTCCCGGGGCCAGACTCGCCCCCGGCACCGCTCTCGGCCGCCCGCCCCGCTACGAGCCCAGCGCGGCGAGGGTTCCATCTCCGACCCGCCTCCCAGGGACGTCGCACCCGCCGCGGCGTCCGCGGGGCGCACGGTGCGCTGTCGGCGGAGCCGGTTCCGAGCTGCCCACGCCGCCCACGCCGCCCGGGAGGCGCGGACAGACGCCGGGACAGTCGGGGCGGAGGGGGGGCGGTCTCCGAGAACCGAGAGCGGGAGGAGCTCGGAGGAGGGCAGCGCCGCCACGTCCGGGCCGCGGACCCCGGCTCCGTGCACCTCCCCCCGCAGCCCGGCCCGTGCGCAGCAGGCTCTCCCCTCCCGAGGCCGGCGTCTCGGGGGCCGCGGCCCGGGCCTCACGAGACTCGAGGGCCAGGGCCGGAGGCGCGGGAGACGCAGGCGCCCCCCGAGGGGCCACGGGCCCGCGCCGCCGTGCGCGCTCAGCACAAACCTGCGGGTTACCGCGGCCCGGCCGTCTCCATCTTGCGTCGTGCTCGGCCCTCTGGGAAACCGAGTCCTTCGCCGGCCGAGCGCCGCAGCTGCTGTGCCCGATGAACTACATCTCCCACCAGGCACTGGGCCGCTACTCCCGAGGCCTGTCGGGACATGTAATCATTACTCTTGTGCTCTCTTCCTAGCCTTCCCATCCCCGGAAATGGCGTCACTGGCTCGCGAAAAGGACCCGGAATTGATTAGAGGGGTTAGGGGTGGGGACTGCGAACTCTCAGAACGCGCGAGGGCTAAAGGCCTTCGCCTTGTTACCGAGGCCCTAGCGCCCCCTACTGGAGGCCGTGAGGACAGCGGCCCCTCAGGCCGGAAGTGCGTCGTAGCGCGAGGCGGGCGCCGTTCGCGGACTTCCGGTCCTGGCCGGAAGTGACCGACGCGCCTTCCAGGGTTCTGGGCCCGGATTGGGCGGTCAGGTCAGGCGGCAGCCGGGGCATCCCGCTCAGGAGGGGCACCCGAAGCGGATGGCAGCCCCCGGGTACAGGCCGCGTGGCCCCGCGTATTGCCCTCGAAGTGCGGGGACCTTGCCCCCTCGCGCCCTCCCCGGGCTTCTGTCCCGGCGCCTCGGGAGTGCGGGTTCCGGCCCATCCTCCCTGCACCCCCGGCCGGTCCTCCCTGCACCCCCCGCCCGTCCTCCCCGCACCCTTGGACGGCTCATCCCCAGGCCCCCACGCCTGCCCCAGCACTGGGTCCGGGTCACTGCAGGACGTACGGCCTCCAGCGCTGGGCCATCTGCCCTCCCACCCGGCCCGACGGGCACAGGCTGCGGAGGGCAGACCTGCCGAGGCCCCAGGGCTCCGCATGGCGGCCCCGCCGGGCCAGTTTCCAGAATCAGCCCCCAACGAGGCCGCCCACGGGATCCACGGCCAGGCTGTCTGGCCTCGGGTCCATCTAACGTACACATGGTGGGAGCCTGCCTGAGGCTCACGGTGACGGCCAGCAGCCCGGTCCGTCCCCAGCGTCCCCGCAGCCAGCAGCCCTGCGGCAGGACGCGCTGGCCTGAGTCCGCTGTGGTCGGAGGGTGGACGCCCCCTCCAGCCCTGCAAGATGCTGCTTGGCCAGAGCCACCCAGCTCCTCTGGGCACCCCGGCGGGCAGGCAGGAGACTTGGGAGGGGCAGGAGGGGGAAGGCGGGTCTTGCAGAGGCCGCCCCAGCTCAGCACCTCCAGCCCCCCCCAGGCCGGGTGCACAGGGGTGGGGGTGGGGTGAGGTTGGGGGAGGATGTTTCTGGGGGCATATGGGGCGCTCCCCAGGCCCCCATCACCGCCCAACGGGTGGGCAGCACCCCTGGGCCCAGCAAGGACCACAGAGTTGAGCCCCGTGCCAAGCTCCTGCCCTCCCTGGGGCCCCCACACCCCGACCTCACACGGCGGCACAGGCAGGCGGTGGCGTGTTACATGCCTAGTTTCTCCTCCTTTATTGAGTGACTTTCAAGGTGTAGTTACAACGGAAGGTGCCGCATTAGAAAGGACAGGTGCGTCGAAGGCAGAGGCTGCTCACAGACCCAGCGCTGAGGCCGGCGGCAGGAAGGGAACAGGATTAAAAAAGGCGGAGCCTGTGGGGGCGGCGGGAGGTGCTCTCAGCCCCGACCCCAGAGGCCTGGCTGAGCAGGCAGAGCCCCCCCGGGGCCCCAGCAGCAGAGGGGACCCTGCCCTGCGGTCCCCAAGGCCTACTCCTATGCCACCTACAGGAGCTGTCAGCCCCGAAAGATAATGGGGAGCAAATCCTCCAAAGTAAAAAAGCTAAGAAGTGTAGCAGAGTAATACCGGGCAGGCTATCTACAAGGCGATGCCCGCCCCTGGGGACGTCCAGGCCTCGGGCAGCGGGCGGCCGGCGGGCGGGGCCTCAGTACACGGAGCTGTTCCGGATGCCGCAGCACAGCACCATGCTCAGGATCATCTCGAAGATCTGCAGGGATGGGGGGGGGGGGGTCGTCAGCACCCGCCTCCCGGTTTGGGGGGGGGTTGTCAGCACCCGTCTCCCGGTTTGGGGGGGGCGGCCGTCAGCACCCGCCTCCTGGTTTTGGGGGGGGCGTCAGCACCCGCCTCCCGGTTTTGGGGGGCCGGCACCCACCCGCCCACTCACCATGATCACGGCGACCACGATGGCCGCGATGCCAATGAGGTACAGCTTCCCGGAGAAGAGGTCGTCGATCTTCTGGTGGCAGTCCGCCTGCGGGGGGCAGGGGCGGGGTGTCAGGCGTGCCAATCCTCCCCTCCCCCTCCTCCCCAGCAACACAGCAGGGTCACTGCACAGAGAGCAGGGGTGGGGGCGCTCCCCTGCCCCTCAGAACAGGCCTCTGCCGTGTTGGGTCTGACAGAGGTTTTCAGACCAAGAGGCTCAGGGGTTGAGCATCCACCTAGGAACCAGGAGGTCCCGGGTCGATTCCCCACCAGGACACAGGCCCCGGCCGCGGGCTGGGTCCCCCGTGTGGGGCGTGCGGGAGGCAGCCGGCCGGTGTGTGTGTCTCTCTGTCTCTCTCTCAAATCAATAAAACCTATTTTAAAACAAACGTGGAAGCAGCGTGCTGCGCCCTCTTCCACTCGGAATCCGCAGCAGGACCTGGGCGCTGACCGGAAGCCAGGGTGCCCTCCAGCTCTGGCAGTGGGACGCAGAGCTGCCCCGTCAGGAACCAGACCGGGTGCACAGTCCCCTTCCCCGTGGGCTCGGCACCCAGCGTGGCACCACCGGGACCGGGGCGGGCAGGGCCCACTCACCTCCAGGTTGGTGAACAGCGTGCTGCCGGAGGGACACAGGTTGTTCTTGAGGATGGAGGTGGTCAGGGAGGTCAGCGCGTCGGAGCCGCAGCAGTTGAGCTGCAGAGACGGAGGGCGGCCACGGTCAGCCCGCACGCGGCAGCGACCCGAGGGGAGGGCCAAGGACCCGCTGGGCGTGGGCGAGGGCAGGGCCTGGGAAGGTCCCCTCCTGCTCAGCTCTGCTGCTCAGAGACCGCAGCACCCCGGCTGGCCTGGCCTATCGGATCCCCACACCAAGGGCCACAGGTCCCAGAGGAGCCTCCCCTCTCCCCCCACCTCCGGCTTATAGGGGGGCCCACGGTCCTTGAGGAGCGGGGCTGCCAGGTCCCTCCTGCTCCCAAGGTCGGAGCTGAGGCCAGACTCAACCCCAGCCCCCCGCCTCCCCCGCCCCGTCCCTAGCGCCCCGACCCCGGCCCGCACCGTCTCGTGGAAGGTCTTCACCACGGCCTTGGCGTTGTTGGCGTCGTCGTCCACCACCGCCTGCTGCAGGGCCTGGTCGTAGAACTGCTTCACGTCCTTGGCGATCTGGGGAGGGGAGCCCCGAGAGTGAGGGCCCGGCCTCGCGGGCTCCGCAGGACAGACCCAGCCCCCAGCCCACCCAGGCCATCTCCGCGAAAGCCCTCCATGGCCCCAGGAGGAGCCCTGAGAGCACCTGCAGCCTGACTGTCCCCCAACCTGGCAGGGGGTGCTGCTCCCTCCCCCTGAGGACCCAGCTGGGGCTGGCCATCCCCAGGGCCCAGCTCACCTGGTCTTTGTTGACAAAGCCCCAGATGCCGGCGGCCACCTCACAGGCAAAGAGGATCACCAGGCAGGTGAAGAACTGCAAAGGCCGAGAGAGGGGGGTCAGGGCAAAGGGGGATCAGGGAAGAGGGGGGTCAGGGCAGAGGGGGGTCAGGGCAGAGAGGGGTCAGGGCAGAGAGGGGTCAGGGCTAAGAGGGGGGTCAGGGCTAAGAGGGGGGTCAGGGCTAAGAGGGGGGTCAGGGCAGAGAGGGGTCAGGGCAGAGGGGGGTCAGGGCAAAGAGGGGTCAGGGCAGAGAGGGGGGGTCAGGGCAGAGGGGGGTCAGGGCTAAGAGGGGGATCAGGGCAGAGAGGGGTCAGGGCAGAGGGGGGTCAGGGCAAAAGGGGTCAGGGCAGAGGGGGGGGGTCAGGGCAGAGGGGGGTCAGGGCAGAGAGGGGTCAGGGCAGAGAGGGGGATCAGGGCAGAGAGGGGGATCAGGGCAGAGGGGGATCAGGGCAGAGGGGGGTCAGGGCAGAGGGGGGTCAGGGCAGAGAGGGGGATCAGGGCAGAGGGGGATCAGGGCAGAGGGGGGTCAGGGCAGAGGGGGGTCAGGGCAGAGAGGGGGGGTCAGGGCAGAGGAGGGTCAGGGCAGGCCAGGACCACCTGGGGCTTTCAGAGGCCAGCCCAGTGGCGGTGGCGTGGGGTGGACTTCCACAGATGACCAACATCCAAGTGACCACTGGGCGTGGGGGGGGCGGGGCTGGCAGGACCCCCACCCACCTCCCGCCTGGGAGTGAGCCCCATGGAGTTGGTGGCACAGAGTCTAAGGCTTGGCCAACGTTCTCCTGGTGGCCAGGGGCGGGCTCTGCAGGGCGGGCAGCTGGGCAGGGAGGCGAGGCCAGGGCTGGGCGGGCGGGCGCACAGGTGCCTTCCTCCCCTCCCGCAGGGAGGTCGCCGCGGTGCCTCCGTTTCCCCCACCGGAGGCCACAGCCGGTCGCAGGGCCGCGTTAGCCACAGCACGTCCCGGGACCCCCGAGGGTGGGACTCCCATTTTATTGTCTCTGCGGCATTTTAAAGAGAAAGAGCCGCTTTGGAACTGGGACAAGGGGCCGGGCAGAGCAGCCCGCAGCCACGGTGGCATTTCAGACGTCGTGGGCACCGGCCTCGGGGAAGGTGCCGGCTGCCGTGACCCGCCCCCCGGGCCAGGCTGGGCACGGGGCGCCCCGGCTCCTGACCTCGCACAGCCTCCCGAGCTCCTGGCTCTTCCTGGGGCGTCAGCCCTGTGCCCCCCACACCCCTCACCTCTACCCGCGACCTACCGTCCCCAGCAGGCACTGCGACTCCTGGATGGCCCCGTAGCAGCCCAGGAACCCCACAAACATCATGACGGCGCCCACGGCGATGAGGATGTAGATGCCTGCGGAGGACACGCGCTCAGTCGCCCGCCCCCGGGGCCTCCTGGGCCCTGTCCCCTGGAGCCTCTCCCCCGGGTGCACACGCCCCCCCAGGGAGGAGTGGCCCCAGGGAGGCCTGTGCCTGCTTCCTCTTCTCGGCACCAGGCGTTCTGGGAAGGGCCCAGAGAACATGGTCCGAGCTCTGTGGGGCTGTCTCTCTCTCCCTGTGTGACCCCGACAACCAGCACCTCTCGGCCCCACAGCCCTGTCTGGGCGCGGTGGCAGGGAGGGCCCCGCTGTGGGCTGGGGGGGGGGGGGGGCAGGTGGGGCAGGTGGCGCAGCCTGGGTCACCCCACAGGTCGGAGCTCAGGGGCTGGACTCGCCCAAGGCCCGCGCTGGAGACCGCTGGGTGCGGTGGCGGGAGCTGTGGGGCAGGCGGCAGGGCCCCCGCCAGGACGGGGTGTGGCGGCTTGAGGATGGCACACTTGTCCTCCTGACCTGCCCGAATGCCCACCAGGAGGGCACACACCCTAGGGAGGCAGGCGGGCCCCCTGGGAAGGGGCTCCAGGGGCTCCAGGGGCTCCGCTGGCCTTCCTGGTGCCCTCGTCCACCAGACGCCGGTGCCCTCGCCCACCAGACGCCGGTGCCCTTGGGAGCTGGCCACGTCCCTGCAGGGGTCCCCCAGC